GCAAATGAAGAGCTGAGGAGGAAGATTAAGGAAGCTAAGCAGACAACAAAACAACAGCTGAATCATAATGAAGGAAACTTCCTGTAAACATTTCCTCTCCAGTAGGTGTGTGTGGCAAAAACAGCATAAAGGACTGAAAAAAAAAATTGAAGATCAGTGTAATAAAATGTTTTTTTTTTAATTTAAAAAAAGGATTTTCAGTCTTAAAAGTGTCTAGTCCCATAGATTTGTCACCCTATAACTAGTCCTACAACCTTTCGTTGCAACGAACAGTGGGCCACTTCCTCCAAACATAAAAACATGTTTTCATGTTTGGAGGAAGTGGCCCACTGTGTGGTGAGAGTATTGTAAAGTTGTGTGACGTCATTTACAGCCCATTAATTTTTGTTCTTTCTATCACGGTTGGGTTTGATTTTATTGTGATTTTGCACCTATAATCACTACATTGTAATTTCCTGAATTAATTAATATAAATATAGTAGAAAGACGTCCTGCTGCAGCAGGCTTGATTTTCAGTGCTTTTGTACAAAATACTTTAAAAGTTCAGTTCAGTCCTTTTATTGAAACAGCTCGGTTGTTTCAGGGTCAAAGACATCAATATAACAATTCCACATACAGACAAAGGGCGAACCTGCACTATTGTCAGAAGGTAGTTCCTTTGTGCTTCAAGCCACTGTATAAAAACTGCACACTTAGTTATGTCACTACTGTAAATGGAGAATCAAACCGAGGCTCAAATGCACATTTCTAAAAGAAACGTGCAAACTGAAGCTCGTCCTGCAAATCATTCAGGTCCTAAACCTTGCACTCTGTTGTTGTTTGTCCTTTGTAGTTACAGAACATTGAACCTTGAAATAGCTGTGCTGTAAGAACAACCATGAATTTATTGTTAAATCGGTCACAAAATGTTCCTCTTCTTGAATGCTTCCCTGTCAGTGTTGGTCTGTGTTCACACAACAGTGAAATATCCTGACGTCAGCAGGCAAACACATACTGATTAAGATGTGACAGATCACTCGTGCACTGCGATTAATCACCCGGTTTCCTCCGGTGAAGGGACACAACGTCTTAATAATACAGTTTATGTTTATAGAGCTTATACTCATCCTCTCTGCGGGTATACCTTGTTTTTGTTACTCCCAACCTGCCACACAATGAGCTTCCAATTTTAACACATTAAAGAGAATGAGCTGGTTTTTTATGAGATTGTGTCAGTTCTCATCATGAAAGTAAAAATGATGAGCGTCGACACTGGACAACAAAGCTTCAGCGTCTGCAAAGTTCAATCAGTGCAAAAATGCTTTAAACCTGCATTCTTTCTCATGGCCAGCAGGAGGCAGCGACTCTGGTTGCAGGAATAAGTCCGATTGTTTAGAAGTCTATAGGAAAAAAACCCTTTAAAGTGTGCCCTCGATCATCACGTTTTTCATGTGTTTATGGTCTCTGATCACTAGCTTTAAAGGCCTTTCACACACAGGATCTGTGTGAATATGTTTAGTGTTAAAAATTCAGTTGAACCGCAGACGTTCGGATGAATTTGCAGCATTTATTTTTTCTGACTAAGGTTGATGCTTTTTTGTTTTGTTTTGTCGAATGCAAATAAGCAAATCTGACCAATCAGACCGCTGCATTTGTCCACAAATGTGCTTGTAGCTCAAAATGCACACCAGTACTGCATGTACAAAAGTAAAATAATATTATTTTACCCCAGACACACAGCTAGAAGGACTGTGTTATTCATGTGGGTGGATCCTGCTCTCGCTCCCCAACTCAAGTGTCACCTCTCTTCTCCTGTGGAGCCTGTGCTCATGTTCAGCCACTGAAATCTGCTCGGTTACAACCTGTACTCTGTGCTAAAAGACACCCATCACACCAGTAACACTGCTAAAGGTCCACATGCCACTCCAGGATTAAAATGAGCCTTTTACAATTTTTTTAGTTAGTTAGTTAGTAGGTTAGTTATTTAGGGGTTTTTTTAACTGAGGAACACTACATGATCATTTAGCAACATCTAAATCACGAGGCGACTCTAACGGGCGCCATAACTTACTGAATGAGATCCATGTTGTATTCAACATGACTTGAAAGGAGTGACTGACACCATATGCCATGAAGAAGATGTTTAGTGAGTTCATAGAGCTGAGAGCCATCATTTGCACAAACGTCTGCATAACTGGACTTCTTTTTGCAGCCAGAGGAGTCGCCCCCTGCTGGCCATAAAGAAGAATGCAAGGTTCATGCCCTTGCCTTCACTGTCAGGACATGGCAGCTGCCTCCTCCTTTTTGTTGTATACATCCTATGCAGTGATGGGAATAACGGCGTTACTTTTTTCAGTAACGAGTAATCTAATTACTATTTCTATCGTTACAACGCCGTTACCATTACTAACAAGAAAATGCGGTCGCATTACTATTTTTCAACAAACAGACGTTTGAAGCTGTCTTCAGGTTACCGCATCTTATATCAGCTGCGCGGAGGTTGCTGTCTATGTAAGTAACATGGGACCGCGGTAAAGTGAGCCGTCATTTGTGAGCCGCGGTCAAGCCAGCCGCCTCCTATCCGCCGCATAAATGTCCTTGCGCTTTTACACCAGTCTTTACGGTAGCGCCTTTAACAGATTCCTCAACTACTCAGGATGATTTTTAATGAATTTTCGAAATTTACATAATTGTAGTGTATTGGCTGTATTGAATTGTATATAAATGTCCTTTAATTTCTGAGGAATTTTACAGTGAATCTGGATGAAACTTGGCACACAGGTACAGTAGGTGTCCCAGAGAAGGACACAAAGTTATAATTTGTGTGCGCGCGTGTGCGTGTGACTGTTCGCGCGCGCGCACGTGTGCGCGAGTCTAGGCTTTCAATCAGGATATAAAGCGAAAAGGCGCTACCGTGAAGACTGGTGTAAAAGCGCAAGGACATTTATGCGGCGGATAGGAGGCGGCTTTGGGGATAGGAGCCACTTTTTTGAAGAAGTAACTAGCAACTATAATTAATTACTTTTTCAAAGTAACTTGCCCAACACTGATCCGATGGACAATCTACTCATTCTCTAGGGAATTCACTAACGGTGAATACATGAGGCGTGCTGGCCCCTCAACAAATCAGAAACAAAATTCAAAGATATGTGAAGAAAACTCTCTGAGTTGATGGTATGCTGCTGCTCTTTCCAGGTATTTCCAGTATGAAAATACCTGTAGTGTGTGAAGTGTGAAGGAAATGAACTAATAAATTCTAACTCTGATGTAGTGCCAGTCCCAGTAGATACTGAGATTTCAAACTGTGACCTGTTGGTTTCTGTTTGATCTGCACAGTTTTTGCAGTCACACCATGACCAGGTTTGTGATAAAGTTACTGTTACATCCATGTCTGCTGCACTTTCTAGAAATGTCCTCTTTCATCTGAAAGACGGCTCATGTCAAGCTATGATTTAAGTCTATTCAGCTCATTTAATGGACTTTTTCTTGTCTCTTTCACTTGGCAGCAAACTACCACAATTGCTCACACAGCAATTTAACATAAATTATAGTCTTCAGCTACAAGTCTTGTCAGAATAAGTCTAGCTGTATTTTTTACCTATTTTCCCTTCAACCTGCTTCCAGCTGAATGCAGCTTCATCCTCACCGGTGCTTTTTATCTCTACCACAGCTCTTTATAGCCCCCTAGTGGAAACAGTGAGCAGTTACCTTTTTATAACCTCTGACACAGTATAAAAGTTGACGTGAAATCATGCTTTTCATGTAATTCTGTAATTATCTCTGCATGTCTGCTAATGAACTGGAAGTCCCTGATTACATGGGAGAGCAGGAATCCCACATTGCTGATTAGTGCTTTGTTTTGATGGTGTTTCTAAATGCTGATGAGGTGGATAAGCTGCAGCGCCTCTTACACTCTGTGTAGAATAATTAGCTGACATCTGAGAGCACTGTTGGCCTTTTGTTACAGAGCCAACGGGAGCTTTGAAGCTCCTCTGAAAATGACCTGCAGGTATTTTAAACTGTAGCTGAAGTGACAGAATAGAAGAGCCCTCTATTGTCATCGTACATGAACAATGACATTATGTTGTTTATGGTCAGAAGACAGTTTTGGAAGAAGACAGAGATTGATAACAACTAATGGTTAGATGCAGAGTGGTGTGTAAACACATGGTGAGCAAAAAGGTGAGTGAAGAAGCATCTCTTCTTCTGCATCTTCCTGTGCTGCTTGGGTCTTTTTACACTTTTCAGTCTTGTTCTCTTGTCACACATACTGTTTTGAACTTTGATAACTAAGAAAAACTGTACCACCAAGTGCAGTATTTACAGTATTATGAAACTTTTAAATTAAATAGCCAACAACTACTACTGAGCCTTCAAAAGCACACACACACACACACACACACACACACTGCTCTTTTACATCTGTACTATAGTCTTTAATAGCGTTCAGCTGACAGTAGAGGGAGTTACATAATCAGTAATGGTGAGTAAAATCAAAAACCTGTGCAAAGATGACCCTTCCAGCACCATCATATATATATTTTTTTACAGACTATTATTTTAAGGTGTTTTCTAGTGAGTGCTTCAGGTCTGCCAGCTTCTTGGTGCATTGCATTATGGGGGATATAGTCCATGAGCACATGTCTAACTGATGAATGTCCTTGAACTTTTTATGTGTCTTAAAGAGATTAAAGGAGATTTTTTAACTAATGTTCAAAAGGCAAAAATGCAAAATCATTAACTGTCCATCACTCAGCAACCATTCACCTCAGACTTTTTTTATCCAGAGTAAAAGTGGTTTCTGATGATTGTTCTGAAGGAAGGTTTAAAGAGCAGTGACTCAGTTATTCAGGTTTTACTTGTTTGTTAAATCACAAAATAGTGACTTAAATTTACTTTAACATAAATAATCCTCAAATAGTTTCAGTTAGTTCATAAATGTGACATTAAATGTAATTATGCTGGCTTTTCAATATGGAACACTTTAATTATCCCCAACATCAGACTGACGAGCACTCGAGTGCTGTTTGATAATTCTCTTTATTTCCAATATACATTTCATTTGAAAAATATAAATTCTAAAATAAACAATTTCACCTATTCTAAAGTCACAAAATGTTAATAATAATAAAAAAAATTGCATCAGTATTCCGAACACTAGGATTAACAGAAGATTTTCACGTCGTGTTGTAGGTTTTTGTCCGACACACTTACACAGAATCACACTTTAAACTAACCACTCCCCACAGAAGATGTCCCGGGCGCTGACTCACATTCGTTTCCACTCGCCGCTGCTGACAGCTGTAAATACTGAGGTGGAATATTAAGTATGTCGTCACTCTTATCTACGTCTTTGAAATCTCTACCGTGGCGATCCGTACAGAGGCCCGGAGGTTTCAAATTAAAATGAAAAAAGTGAGAAAGTGCTTCAGTGCACCCATTAGAGATTCAGTGGGGAGATGGTGTCGATCGCTGTACTGGAGTTAAAAGATAACCGTGGGTTATTTTTAACCTTTCAATGTGGGTCATGCCAACTTTGAGCTCCATCTTCACCACAGAGACAAAACAAAAACAGAAAACAGCATGTAAAAGCTTTTTGTGTCTATTGTTCAGATCAAACTGCAAGAGTGTGTCGTTCAACATTTAAAGCGGCTCTTTTGTGCTGTTGTTGTTGTTTTTCTTTGCTTATGAGAGTCATCCAGTCACTTTCTTCAGATGTGGAGAACTGAGGCTAAAACTACTTGTTTCAAACAGTAATGACTACTGTAAGATAAATATGGATTATTTATCTTACCATGCAAAGGTAATCTGTAATCTCCAGGAATAAGTATGTTAAAGATGCACAGGGTCTACATCCACCTGTATGTCCTGCTATCTGATGGAGTTATTATTATAATTCCCACCAGTTATTTTGATGGGAAATTATATAACAAAGCTGCTAAAGTAAAATGCATGTCAGGTGAAAGTGGGTGTACAGCAACTCTTTTTACTTAATTACCTGTACCAGGAGCAGAGCACTTTGCTTTCAGTTGTTTCAGTGAGATACTTACTGCAGTTTGGGGGAAATTGTAAAATGTTTTTGCACTGAAGAAAAGAACATTTTTCTTTGTATATACCAAGAAACCTACAGCTGATGCATAATGGGTCAGCTGCAATTTTGTTTTTTCAAACAACCTTTGGAGCTTGTATTTCTCTAAATACAACTTCTGTTTCCTGCCTGATTACTACAACAGAAGGGAAGAGTTCAAAGTTAGCATGACCCACACAGCAGCCACATTCATGTAATATAAGTTCACATAAACCTGAATTATCCTTAATAACTGGCCAAAAACAGACGAGCAGTCAGAGAGATGCACGCGGTCATTCTGTGGGAAACCGTCTGAAGTAAAAACATTGGAGCAAATATGGAGTTTGTGCATCTTCTGCCTCACTGACATGATGTTTTAACAACTGTTTAAAGGATGTGTGTGGGTTAAACATAACACTCACATGCCCTGTGCACACTCTACAAGCTCAGCAAGTTTATTATGGGGGCCAAAATTAAAATGCTTTGCCTGATAATTAGAAATTTGAGTTAAAGTGAAGAAAACTGAGTCAAACACTGACCAGCAATCAGAGATTCAAAGACATGTTTGACAGCTGACGTGCGCACGGGTCTTTGTGTGGATTTGAAGAAGATAGGATTGCATAACACCGACCAATAAGTCTCTGAATGTAAGCACAGATGGCATGTGACCGTTGTATTACAGCCCAAACACATCCTTATGAAAAACGTCTTCACATCATCAGATAATTCCAAAAACAGCTGAGAAAAACAAAGAAAACCTGCCGTGAACCGAACTGAGCTCGCATGGATTTGATTCCCGTCTCCTCTTTTTCACATTGTTACTTTAAGAATCAATCTCTTATAAGCCACTTAGGTAAAGTACTTTGTGCAGCAAAAGTAATTATTATGATATGCATTTCTAGTTAGAGTTTAAGTTTGGCGGAGGAAAATCGGATGATTATGTCGCTGGATTGTTTTCTACTCGAACAGAAAAAAAATAAGAAATGTTACAAACACACACACAATAAAATCTTTTTTTTTTAAAGCAAAACAAAAGAAGAAAATGATTTAAATTAAACGAGTAACAAAAGCAAAAGAGTAAAAGATTCAGAAAACTAGAAACTGAAGCAAGTAAAACTGCATCACAAAGTGAGAATAAAAATATTTTCCTCATCTGCACATACAAATGTGCATTGTTAATCTGCTATTAATTTACTTAAATATCTACTGTATTTCCTTCACAAGCTATGATCATAGAGTGAATCTGTGTGAATCATTTCTACAAGAGGACAGAGAGAAAATATCAAAACCCCATCAAAAGTCAACACATTGCAATCATTCATGATAAGCACTGAATCTAAAACAAGAGGTAGAGCTATAAAAACATGATTTTCCTGCTACAGGAAAATGTTATTAGAATAATTCGGTTTATATAAAAACTCAGACAGATGATATTTGTATATGTTTATATAAAAAGAGCAGGTCCATGCGTGGTCAGAGTGAGCTGCAGCCTCGGTGGGTGATGCGTAGGAGGAGTTGTATAGAAGAATATTCAGGGGTTACCTTTGTAAGCAAAGACTAGCTGTGGAGCTGTGAGAGAAACGTGGTGAGGAAAGACCATATAGCGTGCAGCGTAATGCTTCTTCTAAAGCGTGCCGCTCTTCACAACAAAGTCTTGAAGTCATGAAGGAGATCGGAGTTAAAAGAATCACCGAAGGTCAGTAAAAAGAAAAGTTGTGCTGCAGGTTGGTGGAGATCTACAGAGATGTTTCGGATCCTCTGCTCTTCCAGTAGAAAGTGTTATCATCGTCTGGGTCCATGTCTATTCTAATCTGAGGCACAGACTTCAGCGGACTCATCTCAGGACTGAAACACAAAAATAAAATATTTTAAGTACATGTGTGCAGACGTAGTGCGTCGACTATATCATCTAGGTGTTCGGGGTCGATTAGATGAAGCTTCAGCAGACTCGCCTGCTGCATCACTTTTCACTTCAGTTTTTAGGGTGTCTTTAAATTCAGCTCTTTCTTTTCTTTGAAACAACGCAGCATCCTTCTGTTCCTAACACATCATCCTGTCCTTATCAGTATTCAGTAGATATCCAGGAGGATTTCAAAGTTTTCCTGTAATTTTTTGGGAGCAGAGTAAATATGACAAAGATCTGATAGATGCCCACCAAAAAAATCATGCTCACATCTCAAAGGTTGTACCTGGTGATTATTTGGCATTGTTGCTTATCTTGGTTACTAGTTTATGTTTAGCTGACTTAACATCTCACCTCTAGGTCACTTTATTGTGGTATTTCACTAATACCTCAGTATAGATCTGATGTTTCCTGAGGTCGTCTGAGCTCAAAACAATTTGCCTTCAGTCTTAGTGGGACAGGATTACTTTAACAGCAGGGTCAGCGTAACGTCATTCCTACAATAGATACCCAGGAACGATGCCAGTGATAATAATGAGCATGTAACTATTAAAATGCCTAAAATGTTTTAAAGTAAAATGACATCAAAAAGCACCCAGCTAATTAACCCTAAAAGAAAACAACATGTGACTGAAGAGCACTGCGGCTGTGGCTGCGGACCAATTATGTCACTGGTTGTGGTTTGTTGACATCGCAGATGTCCTGTAATCGCAGCTGCTTTTCACACATTGTGGTAACAGTGCTGATGGAAGAGGATTAGTGGGACGACTGTGGGGCAGATGGGGTGATGGGAAGGCAGCTTGACCCTGCATGTGCTCACAATGCGCAGATCCTGGTCATTGTGAGAAGTTGCGGACATGATGGAAAAACATAATCTCTCTTAAGCAGCATAATCTTTGCTATAAATATTTGCACACCAGCAGTTCCTGTCATGCCTTTTTAAGACCGATTGTCTCCTTAAAGCTCTTATCAGTGGAACACAGTGTGCATTTATCATGCAGTATAGACTTACAACATCCACACAGCAGATTGATCTGTGTTCCTAAATACACAAAAACACTACAAAATGGCCTAAGATGCAGCTTTAGATACTAATCTCTTACAAGTCACAGGCAAATTTAAGACGAACCAGTTTAGCTGTTATTCAGCTGGTTGCTTTTGATAATCCTGCAGGTTATGTTCCTGCAGACGTTCAATGAAGTTCAACATAGTCAGACTTTGTTAGCATTAGCTGGCTCGATAAAACCTTAAATCCCAGTCAGAGATGATGGATGTCACAAAGGTGGTTATCAACTTTGTCTGCATGAGAGAAACTGTTGTGAACTGGCTGTGAAAGGACGCAAATGCAGATAACATATAACACAGCGTTATTAAGTAAATGGAAATACAAAACAACAGTGGGAAATGATAAGAACTAAACACATGTGGAGGCAAACAGAATGACACACAACCATGAGGGAGAACGCGACACTGGACAGAGGGAAACACGGGGCTTAAATACACAATAGGATGATGAGGGAACAGGAAACACATGGGGAACACAGCGGAGACAAATTAGACACGAGGAAGCAAAACGAAACACACTGAACATGGAACGCAAGACTTTCACAATAAAACAGGAAACGAACGCAAGACTGACACTGGAGTGGAGAAAAGGCAGATGAGAGGGAGCGAGGGAACACGAGGGAACACGAGGGAACACGAGGGGAACATGGATAAACATGGTAGACAGGGGAACATGCAACGAAACATAAGGAGCGAAACAAGACACAAGGACTCACAAACGGATATAAACAGAGACACAGAGAGCTAAACAGGGAATATAGGAAACTCAAAACAGCACTAGGACTACTAATGAACCAGAACATAAACCATACTACAAAATATTAACTAACTCAAAATGCTGGGTTAAAAGGACCCAGAACCACGACACAGACGTTGCAGACATTTTGTAAATGTTTCGATTTGATCGTAACAAGCACGAGTGAAAAAGTAACTCAGGCTCATATATTTTACCACTCGTTGTGGTGGTGCTGCACATTACAGCTCTCAATCTTTAACTTGTTTAAACATTTGATGTTATTCAGTGTGTGACGAACGCGGCTGTGACTCTGGCAGACGAGCTGAACACTTTCTATGCTCGCTTCGAGGCTGCAGCTAAGGTCTCCAACAATGCTAGTGTTAGCGGCGCTAACGGCTGCAGACAGGAAGATACTGCCAGCACCGGAAACGTGCTCGTCATCTCCGAGCATGAAGTAAGGAGAGCCTTCAAGAGAGTGAACACCAGGAAAGCAGCAGGACCAGACGGCATCCCAGGTCGTATCCTAAGAGACTGCGCATACCAGCTAGCTCCTGTGTTCACTGAGATATTCAACATCTCTTTATCTCAGTCGGTGATCCCCACATGCTTCAAAGAGTCCATCATTGTTCCTGTCCCGAAGAAACCCCACCCTGCTTCTCTCAATGACTATCGCCCTGTAGCCCTCACCTCAGTAGTGATGAAGTGCTTTGAACGCCTGGTCAGAGACTTCATCATTTCTTCACTACCAGACACACTGGACCCACTACAGTTCGCTTACCGTCCAAATCGTTCCACAGACGATGCCATCTCTCATCTCCTCCACACATCACTCACTCACTTGGACACTAGAAGGGGGAATTATGTTAAAATGCTCTTCATAGACTACAGCTCTGCATTTAACACCATAATTCCCTCCACACTCACCACCAAGCTGGAGCATCTGGGACTCAGCTCATCTATGTGTCTGTGGATCTCCAACTTCCTAACTGGCAGACCACAAGCAGTAAGGATGGGCGGACATGTCTCAGCCTCCACCACTCTCAGCACTGGAGCCCCCCAGGGGTGTGTTCTGAGCCCCCTGCTGTACATCTTTGTACACATATGACTGTGTGGCCACTACCAGCTCCACCACCATCATCAAGTTTGCTGACGACACCGTCGTGGTGGCCTGATCTCTGATAACAACGAGACGGCCTACCTGAAGGAGATTAGGAATCTGGAGAACTGGTGCCAGAGGAACAACCTCCTTCTAAACGTCAGTAAGACAAAGGAGCTGATAGTGGACTTCAGCACTAAGCAGGAGAGGAACTACCAGACCCCCGTCATCAACGAGTGCCCAGTGGAGAGAGTGGACAGCTTCAAATACCTCGGAGTTCACATCACGCAGGACCTGTCATGGTCCTGTCACATCAACACCGTGGTGAAAAAGGCCCGACAGCGTCTCTACCACCTCAGACGCTTGAGAGACTTCCAACTGCCCTCCAAGGTGCTCAGGAACTTTTACTCGTGCACCATAGAGAGCATCCTGGCGGGAAACATCTTAACCTGGTTCGGGAACAGCACCATGCAGGACAGACGAGCTCTACAGAGGGTTGTGCGGTCAGCTGAGCGCACCATCCGCTCCGAGCTCCCTGACCTGCACTCAGTCTACAGCAGGCGGTGCTGGACCAAGGCCAGGAAGATGGTGAAGGACCTCAGCCATCCCAACAACAGACTGTTCTCTCTGTTGAGGTCAGGAAAGCGATTCCGCTCCCTGAAGACCAACACAGAGAGACTGAGGAGGAGCTTCTTCCCGCAGGCGATACGGTCTCTCAATCACACCACCACACAGTACTGACCCACACATACAGTTCTTACACACACACTGGACATTCTGGACTTTGGTTTTGCACAACACTGGTCACTATATTCTTCATTTCCGGTTAATACTTGTACAGCTACTGTCATTGTGTATATATTTATTTATATTTATATTTCTTCATACATTCTTATATAGTTCTATATTGTGTATTTTGTTGTACAGTTATTTTATTTTCAACTTTAATTTATATATTTTATCTTATTCCTTCCCAGTTAAATTTACCCTTCATTCTAATTTGTGTTGTACAGTTATTTCATTTTTAACCGTAATTTATATTTTATTCCTTCTTAGTTAAATTTACCCTTTTTAATTTTTCATATTTATTTCCTATCTTATTCATAGCCTTTTCCTTTTTTTGTTTTCTTTAGGTCACGAGCAGTTGTCCAAGCATTTCACTACATATCGTACTGTGTATGACTGTGTACGTGACAAATAAAATTTGAATTTGAAAAAATTTGAAATTTGATGTCTGACGCTTTCCCATAAAGATGGGAAAATTAGTGAAACACACTTTGTTGTTTTATATACTTTTTGCATTGCTACAGCACAGAAACTAAATCACACAAACGGGAAAGTGTGGAAAACTTACATATGACTTTAACTAAAACTCATACAAACAGATGAGTCTCCATGAGACTGAAAATATGGGCTAATTTTGCTTCCAAGTACACCCGTCGGGTCTGAATGCTATAGTTTGGGGCCATAATTATTATGTAGCTTTAATCCTATGCATATTTGCTGAAAATAATAAAGTATTATCTGTGATAATGCAGATTCTGGAGGCATCATTGGCCATTAGAAAGCACTTTGGGTGCAAGTTGCAGCCGAGCATGGAAGATTTCAGTTTGCTGTCTTTCAAAAGGCTTAACAGTTACGTGGCAGCTTAGGTTAGCCAGCATCTACAGATGTCAGTTAATTTGAGTAAAACACAGACTAAGTCACAAAATGTGTTTAGGACAAACTTTATTTATCTCTAAAGCTGTGGAAAAGTAAACCAAAAACAAAATAAAATATTAGCTCACTAAAAAAGAAAAAGTCTCACTGAAGCAGCTCCTTTGTTTTACTGAAGGAAATAAAATAGAGAAAAAACTCTTTTGTGAACATAGCAGAAAAAAAGCACAGCAAAAAACTAGTATTCAGAAGCCTTTCACTTTTTAGCATACAGCATGCAAACAGCATGACGGGGCAGACAGACGAGCTGGCATATGGCGCCCAGCGCTTTGCTTCCCCTTGAGGAAAATACAGTTTAGCCATAGGTAAGCTAATTAGCCTAACTGACCTTTAAAGTTCAGGCTAGCATTACGCGTGGGGATAGTTAGCGTGCCTTCTGACCTTTTGCCATCTCTGATGCCACTGTCTTTATTAAATGCAAAAGGAAATTGGTGGAGGTTGTTTTGTTTCGTTGCCATTTTGTTTAGTCTGGCAGGTGAGCTGCACTGTGACAGTCTGTGGCTCTCAGCTTCCCGTCTGTACACACTCTGATATCCACACACACACATCTCACCTGGACAAGTAGTTGGCCTGGTAGAAGCGAAGCTGCTCAGCACGATGTGTGTCGTTCAAGGAATGATGAGGACTTGTCTCCTACGAAAAAACCCCAAAGAAAACAGCCATTAGCTCACAGATATCCATGTAACTTGTTAGATAGCCTCTGACACACTTTAATATTTGACATCCTGTGTGTGTCATAGCATCTGTAAGAGCAAAGCAGCGGGTAAAACCAGGAACACAGTGTGGATCAAAGATACTGTAATGAATACATATAGAAACCAGTCAGTTCATTTAATGTTGTAAACAGGCATTTGTTCTAGTATTAAAGGACCAGTGTGTGATACTGGGGTCATTTATTTTTCCCCATCCAGCGTGTATCATACTTTTATCTGCTTCAACAGAGTCTTTAAAGGTTGTTCTAGTATATTTCTACACCAGCCTAGACAAAGCTCAGGAGAGGGTCTGCTGTGTTGTATTCTATTTGATTTTATTAGGTGAAGTGATCCTAAAACATATAATAATCAACACCCTCTGAAAAGCAGGGCCAATCAGTTAGTTCCAACCTCCAATAAATGTAATTAAGTCTACACACTAGTCCTTCAGCAAACACACATTAGTTATATATTACGGCAAAAGTTAGAATTCAAGAAGACTTTTGTACATAAAACTAAAGTTACTGTTAAATATGTTTAAACAGGCAGGATCCACAAAGTCAGACTTAACAGCACGTAACTGAAAATGGAAACTGATGGGGGGAAAGAAGTTAATTGAGCAGGACGAGGTAGAAAGCGAGCAGCTTTCATGCATGTTTGAAAGGAAGTAAGCACAAAGAACGGCAAAGAAGTGAAGCAAATTTAAATATCATGCAGTTACAGACAAAAAGGCACCACATCTTCACTAAGTACAGCAAGTTAGGCAGGCGCAAGAAGTAGTTTTCTCCGGTGCTGCAGGTAGTTACTCACTGTCAGAAGCCTTATCACTTAAGAAGGGCTCCTGTTCCATCATGTCCATGGGGATTTTAATGCTGGGAATATTCTCATTGTAAGGAAAGTCAGACTGTTGGAGAGAGGAAACATCATCATTGGAAACTTTCTTTTTTCTCTTCACCGGCTTGTTTCCAGCCATATCCAGTTCAGAGCTACAAGAAAATCAGTCATGAGTGAATAATTCAGAGCAGCCTGCCAGAGGGTCCAACTGGGCCCACTGCACATCTCTGCAAAGTGTAGAAATTGGAGCAAAGTCATTCATTATATTTTGAATGCAGCACGACGATGGCGTTAACACACAGGAGTAAAAATATGTGGAAATTTTAACTTGTTTTTAAACTCATGTAGACATAAAATAATATTGTCTAGTTTTTAAAACCAATGTATATGAAGTTTTGTACTTTTTAATGCCCACTGTGATTGTAAATCATAATGTAAATGTCCAGCAAACTCACTGAGGGTGGAAAAACACGGATGCGTCACAGACTCATCTGTTTTTAAAGCGATAGTTCATTAAATGTATTCAAAAGAAAGGGGTGTGGCTGTTTTTCACCTCATTTACTATGCAATCATACAGACTGGGCTGCAGGAGACTCGTTAACTGTTAGTTAACGATAACTGTGCTGAGGTGCACTGTTTAGCCTTTAGTCAAAACTCTTGCAATAAGATCTCTCTCTGTGCTGCAAATATCTAAAAATGCAAAGTGCTTGAATAAAACCCACGGCGTTCTCCGGTCTACACGGTGAAGGTATGATTTCAGCATATGTCGCCTCTTAAACATTCTCATGTTCATTAACTGGAAGAACTACAACCTAAAAATGAAAGAAATGTGCATAAACTCCGAGTTAGGATGAGCTGCTGTAACAGAAAACAAACAAAAAGAGTTAAGAATGAAGAATCTCAAATAAACCTAAGAGTGAGTTAGAGATGTAAGAGATGAACATATCCCAAACTTACGTCGTCAGCGTCGCTGTCTATGCTGCCACGTTTCTTCTTTTTCTTCTTATCATCCTCTTTCTTCTTCTTGTCCTTCTCTGGGATGACATCATCCAGGAAACTGAGGTCATGCTGAGAGAACAGGTAATCCATCCCCTTTCTGACAGCGACCAGAGCGAGGATCTGATTTTGAGATCATTCGTTGACAGAAAGACGTCAGCGTTAATTCTATCGATATTTCTTTTTTAAACATGAGCTGAAATCGACGTAATTTGTAAAATAAAATAATACATTAACCCACATTAACACGTCAAACCTGATTATTTCACTTTGATTCTGAAAAGTACAACAAACTTTATCGTTCAATGAAGTTTATAACAACATCCTGCAATATAACTTACATGAAGTACTGGGATGATCTCTGCTGATTTATCACCCAGATAAACTCAAGTCTACGTACACAAAACAAACTTTCGAGAAACGGTTTGAACTTGAACTGAAAATGCATTTCTGGTCACAGCCTCTTTAATTCTGCTTTGGTGAGTGTAATGCCTGCTTAGCTTTAAAACAGCACAAACTCTCTGTTAATGAACTTTCCATTTAAGCTGTAAAAATGTGTCCTGATATGAAACTTTCGTCACGCCATTATGAATCTGCCCAATACCTATGTACCTAGATCAGAGTCCTTCTGCTGCTGATGCCTGTGATATGACTCTTACAATAATACTAAAAGGTGTTAGTATTACTCACTAATCCCACAAGGTTGATTCTGTTCATCTGGACGTTTTCAATGGGAGAAACGTTTCTCATAAACAGCACATTTGCACAATGACTGAAACCAGCACCACTGAATGAACAAAGTTCTGTGAGGTCAGTTCTTTGATCGTTAATATGTTAACTGTCATGACCACTGATCAAAGCCCACGGAGCATTGATCAAAGAATCGGGGAATGACTGCAATCACAGCATTGTAAGATGGTGACAGATGGACCCTTTGGCCCCCTCCTCCATTCAGAGATGGTCTTTCCCTTTTCACGTAAATGGCCTCCTTGACTCCGCCCTCAAACCAGCGTTCCTCCCTGTCCAGGATGTTACATCCTCATCATTGAAAGAGTGTCCACTGGCCTGTAGGCGTAAACAGACTGCAGAGTCCTGGCCTGACGAGGTGGCTCTTCTGTGACAAAATGTTTCTCACACTGAAAACGTCCAGATGAACAGAATCAACCTTTTGGGATCCACTTACCTGGGTGATTGAGCGTGCGTCAAGACATTACTCACTAATATTAATTAAAACTATACATTCTAGGATGCTGCAAACTTAATTAGCAGCATCTCAATAAAAAGATGTCTCACCATGACAGGGAAGACGATGGCAGCCACGGTGGACTTGAGGATCCAGAGCAGAGCCAAGCAAAGGATTTGCATAAAAGTGAAGAGGTGGACCTTCCGGAGAGGAACGTGTCGCAGGTAAACCAGGTCCGGCTGGTGCTTCGCTGGCATTAGAAGCAGCTTAAGACGATCCATGAACTACAGAGAGACCGTGGTACCAATTAATATGACAGAGCTTCAGTAACCATCACTGCTTTTCACTGCAACTAAAGTAAAGGAAACTATGCAAGTCCTTATTCTGAGACTTTTACTGATATCGGCTGCCGAAGGTACCCAGGCATCATCTGCAGCATGTTTGGATTTTTTATGTTTAAGTGTGAAGATTCAGCCAATCATTTCCAGCTGGTATCCTTAAATTTACAGCATAATGCAGTTTATCCTACACAAGTGCTGAGTGACTACCTCAAAGGGGGGAGAAAGCAGCAAGGCAGCTTGAGTTTCTCTGACTCTGAGCACATCTGTCTGTGCTGATGCACAGATGGTCTTCTATCCAAAGAGCCTCTGCACCTATGGTGTCACAGGCTTGCTTCTCTAACATGAAGGAAACCAGAACAAACATGCAGCAGCTCTGACGCAACAAGCATAACATTACATGTGCTACTTCAAAGCTGGACCATCCTCCACGCTCCCCTTGCCAACTCAGCGCTTCCTGTGTCTGTTTTTACCATTTAACCGTCCATTTCTTAAAAGGAAATGATGGTTAAACAACTGGGTTATATCCCCCCCCCGACTAGTCTAATTTGTGGAAATATGGTAATTGTAGTTGTTTTTTTGTTGCTGCTGTTTTGTTTTTTCAGATCAGTTTCTCTTTAGTCAAATTTTTTCTGTGGCTTGTTTTTTTTAAAAATTAAAATGATACCTGCACTCCATTGAGAGAAGCGACCCCCATGTACAAGAAGACTCCATACAGCACAGGCATGGGGATGAACTAGGTAAAGGGGAAAAGAAGAATGCACATCACAGATGATACTTAGATCCTGGTTTGTTAGGAAACACAGAATATGTAAAGGTTAGTGAGCAAAATGAAACCACTGAAACTTGTCTGATTTGTTCTGAATTCGAGGAGTCGCCTATGAGTTGTGTAGTGCTCTCAAAGATTCCCACAACAGCGTGTGGACTGTTGTGCATCACAGCTCCAAAAAGAGATGTCGTATTACTCCACAGCTGTCGACAGTCGCAGGAAAGAAGAGCAGCTGAATATCATTTAAAAGTCTGAAATTACTTACTGTGCTGCAAAGGGAACCAATGACAGCTTTTTGAACCCAGCTTTCAGAGGTTGAATTTAAAATATGAGGTGAGAATAAGTATATCTAATCTTTGTAATCTAATGATAGATTGGCTGATTTGTATAAATCGAGGGAAAGCTGCATATAAAACTCTCTCAAGGAACTTGGCACGTGTTCGGCATGCAAAAGTCTTTGAGTTATAAAGTTTGTGAACATTTATGAAAGTTTGTGAGAGAGTCTGGCCTCTCGGTGGCCGAAGATCAAAGTTAATGGCGCTGCTGTAAAACTCACTGAGAGACAACTGACGTCTAGAAGGACTGCAAAAAAATTCCACTGATCTTTGACTTCATCCACATAAGTATTTATTGTGTGTGTGTGTTAACTTAATTTTTATTGTATTGAGCGATCTTCTTTTGCACTGAGATAACTGGACCTCAATGTCATTTTTCAGCGCCTCGTTGCTGCAGGGACGATAAAGATTCTGATTCTGATAAGATAGCAGCTTATCAGTAATCAGTGAGTGTATTTATTATGCAGGTTTATGGGCAGCCTGATAAAGAAATCCTTTTATTCTTTTAAATTTAATTTGACCAATGAAAACTATGTTAAAAAGCAGAGAAGTCCGATTTCATATATGTCCTGGTAACTGAAGAACAGGTTAAATACTACAGATCCTCTTCATAATAATATGACCCACCGGCCATATTAGACAGACTATTACCACTTTATTGTGTCGTTGCATTTTGATGCAGATTTGAAAAGTCACGTAAGAGCAACTGGAATTCAAACACATTAAACTGAAATGGGACATATTAGCTAATCGTGTCTGTGAGGGCTCTCAGTGATCCAGGTCATCGTAGCCTAAGGAGGTTGGAAAGAGGGTCCCAGATGACACCTTGGCTCATGTGATTAGGTAGAGGATCAATAAGGGGTCCATCACCCTGTTGGGGACACTCCCATAGGGCTTAAAATCTGGGGCTCTCCACCAGTTGCTCTTAGAACTGAAGAAGCTTCTCGGATGAAACATCTTTAAGAAACCTAAAGACGTCCAGATGCTTTTCTTTCCAAGCTCCTTAGACATTAGCTGTGTTTTGTTTTTGCATTTTTTGCAGGAGCATAGTGTGAAGCAGCATGACTTTTGCTCAGAGATGGCGATGAAGCCAAGTTACACTGCCTTTATATTGTTTAACTTTGTGCAGTATAACTAAAGAGAGCTTTTTAGCATTTTTGTAAATCACATTTAAGCAGTACTTGCATTGTATGTCTCTAGATCTATTAAAAATGTATTGTTGTTTGTTGATTTCTAGTCAGAGGCTTGAAAATAAATTCAAACTCCTCCCCAGAGCTGTTACCAACATGGTTGCTACGTGGTAAGACCTGCTTCTAGAAGGACATTGATTAAACTCATAAACCGTTTAACTGGCATGTCAAGTTAACAAATCAATCACAAGACAAGAAATAAAATCAATATCTGATTGATTACCTTTAAAACTGGAGCCATAAACACAGACAGCCCTGTGAGGATGAACACGCACACACCCGTGACCCTCTGCTCTCTGCAAAGGACAGAAAAATACATTTTACACAAGAACAAAACTGCAGCGTCTGAGCTGTCTGCTTGCTATAAAGTCATGATCTGAAGCAGCCTGGCAGTCAGTTACCAATTCATAAATTAGTTTAGCCAAGAAAAAGAAAACAGCACCAGTGTTTGCAGAGGGTTCAGAGTTAGTGTGGATGTTCTGGTGTTACGGTTTGTTAGCTCAGCTTACAGCTGACACATCAGGAGGCCGGGGAGGACGTCAGACATGAAAACAATCAAAAGCCCCGTAAAACTAAAATGAACACAAAGGAAGAACCAGGCAAGATGCTGAAAATAAAATATGTTAATACTGCCAATAACACAGCTTAATTTAAATACAGATAATCATTAAAAACCTGAGATGATGAGAAAAAAAAGAACATTTGTTAAAGTTGTCTCACGCTGCCTTTTTCTGAAATATTTATTGAGACCAAACACTGAATGAACAATATTGACCAGCTAGGATCAACAAGCCAACAGCAATAAGTGTTTATTGATTATGATTTGAATGATAAGAGTGATCGAGACACTTTGTTCAGAGATCGTGTGCACGTTAAAAAGCACAGACGTAACTTCCAGGTCAGAAAAACGAAGCCAGCGTTGACGTGCCTTAAGCCTGCGTTCTATCTGAAGGCCACCAGATGGCGATAGATGCGGTTGCAAAAAAAGACTTTGGTCCTATAGCAGTCTATGGAAAAACACCTCTCTGCCATGACCTCTGTGAACATGTTGTGACGAGTTTATGGGCTCAGTCACACGTTTGGGGTCATACTGAATAACAAATCAGAGTCTGCTTCATAAATCGTGGTAATAACATGTTTCACAATGGAGCAATACTTGTCAGTTAAAGGTCATTAACAATGAGTATATGGTTTCATATTCAGAGTGATCGGCTAAAGAAATCTGAGGCTTCAAACTGCCTCCCTGATCAGCGGCCACAGCTGCAACATCTGTCATCGAGTCCTTCAACATGAATCTACTAGAAGTAGGCAGGGGTGTCTTTAGCTGCTTATTTGCTAATCAGTTAATAAATTTTAAACTAAGACTAATCAGCTAATCTAACAGTCAGAAATCGAAACAAGTGTGGCTAATTTGAGCATTTCTGGCATGAACAGCCTTCTTTCCAGTGCACATGACATATGTGCTAAGAAAATAAAATAAAAAGTTTAACTCATGAGCCAATTCAACATCTTAGCGTAACTATTTTTGAGGAAGGTTTTTGCTTCTGTGTTCATCACATCTCAAAATGACTGATTGCTGCTGCAACACTCGGGCCATTTGCAGAGCACTTGGTGTTTGAGCAGATCACAGCACGAGTCCTTCTTCATGGACCTTCCAGTTTTAACCACAGCCCTTCATCTGAAAGCACTTAATTCCATTTTCAATTTAGTGCATGAAATATCTGAAAGATTATCCATTTACTGCTCTTTGATGCATGTTGACCAAATCTAACCAAGTGATTCTACCTTCTTCTTCCTGGAATCTCACCTGCAGATCAGATGTAAAAGCCATTCATTTCTCACAGTCAAACTAAAACTGTCATCGGGCTGTATGTGACCACAGTCCAGAAAGGGGGCGTCTTCCTAACAAGCATTGCTCTTACCTCACACCCAGGAACTTTGGCTGCTCTCCGGGAGCCGATGTTTCAGTCTCCATCTTCAAACTGTCGATGTGAGCGATGGAGATGACGGTGGCGGCCACGTACCACGGCAGACCCATGAAGGAGCAAATTGCTAGCAGAACAGCCACCCAAAACAGATCCAGATGGTAACCTGCCCCTTTCTGGTACAGACAAAAACAAGGTCAGAGGTAACGTGTGTGTATGTTCAGGCAGTAAGCAGAGCACAGCTGCAGATACAGGCAGACCTAAAACCCTGCAAACTGCTCATTTATGGTTTGTTTGCAGAATAAGACAGAAGAACCAACGCGATGCTCCATCATTTATTGTTTAAAGGGGCAAATTACCCCGCTGAAAGAATCCTATTGGTCTACTTCAGCAGTTACTGCCTAAAAATAACAGGTAGTACTGTCGTGACATCTCTCTCACCCCTATGAGAAGAATGATGTTTAGCTCCAGTGTGAAAGGATCCAGTGTTCTAGAGCAGGGAGGCCAAACTCATTTTACATCGTGGCCCACTTTGATCTCAGGTGGGCCAGACCAGTGAAACTCGTCTTCATGTCAACATGAAGATGTTTAGATATATTTAATATAAAAAATGTAATTAAATACATCCTGTAATTATAAAACAGTGTTGTTAATTTTTTCATTTTTTTTAACACTGTAAAAATCATCATTTCTATAGCAGATAGTGAAAACACAGGAACTTTCTTGACTGTTTGTCTAATGCTTTTTTACTTTGTTCTTATATGAAGTAGGGATGGACCGATCCGATATTACGTATCGGTATCGGTCCAATACTGACCTAAATTACTGGATCGGATATCGGAGAGAAATAAAAAATGTAATCCAATCCATTAAATATCATGAAAGCACCTCAAAAAACTTGCAACATGGCGTAACTCAGCTCATAACCGTAGCACGTCGGAGCAGTGTGCGTCACCTGATAGAGCGGCTGTGGCGTGCGAGACCTGTCGGTGGTCTGGTTGAGCATTTGGAGCCTCGTTACCAAACTGGTATTTCATCTCCGAGAAAGTGATCCCAGACAGAAGTAAAGCAAGTGTGTAAGTTCATCTCTGAATGTTTGTAAAGCATTCCTGCGTTAAGCTTAACAACAGATATATGGAGCGACTGCCTCTCTCCCTCCCTCTCCTGCTGCTACTTCAATCATGAAACTGATCAATGATCAGCTGTCGCGACTTTTTAAATTTGAGTATGAACTTATACAAAATGCAGCAACATACTAAAAAAACACTTTTATTGATTAAAACTATCCAAATTTATGATATCGGTATCAGACATAAAAAAGTGGTATCGTGCCATCTCTAGTATGAAGGGCCATGGGGGAGGTCTTTATCAGTAGGAAAAGCTGTAAAACCTTTGAAAATACAGAGAAAATGTGAAAATTTGTGCCCTTCTTCACATTTTCCAAAGCCGTCCGGTGCACCAGATTGGAATTTTTGGCAGGCCGATTCTGGGCCCCAAGCCTTATGTTTGACACCCCTGTTATAATAGAGGGACTGTAGTTTGTTATGTGAAACACACTAAAAGTTCCATACATCATAAAAGAGAAACCAAATGAAAAAAACCTCTTATGTTTGCACCTTATGAAAAGCTGTTTTTGTTGGATTTATCAGTATTTACGCAGCAACAACGTTCAGCTTTGTAAAGACGCTTCACAAAGCTCATTCTGTCAGAAGGATTTCTGACTTACCTTTAGCTTGTGCTCCTTCCTGTTGACAATCACAGCAGTAATCTGTTGGTCCATAAAGAGCAGGATGGTGACCAGAAGGGCAGGAAGAGCAGACGCCAGATAAACCCACCAGGGGTTTCCTCCAAATGGGGCCACAAACCAGCCTCGGTTTGGACTTGTTGGCTATAAGGAGAGAAGACACACAGAGTCAGTCCATGAGATTTAAATTGTACATATCCTTGCAAAGGCTTCCTGTCCATCAAACATGTTCATTTAAACTCCAGAAAACCTTTTTTTTGTTAACCTGTCTCTGAAACTGTGTTAAGGTTCATTATTTGCACAATTAGAGTGGCTGCTTTTAGTGAAAGATGAACCTGGTACAAAGTGCTACACCACTGTCTGTAGCCGCTTATGCCGACTGGCCATCTTTTACATACAGTCTATGATGATGACTTGCAGGACAATTTAACAAGAGTTTATTGTTGCCTCAGGTTTCATAAAGCCATGTATAACTAATATGGACTTTAATTTCTCTGGGTGGAGGAGGGCACTCACTTTGAATTCACTTGGCACAAGAAGTTTAGGCGTATCAACTCCTACGAGCATATCAACTCCACAGAAGATAAGAATGGCCAAGATGATGGCAAAGTCACTGATGAGTTTTCGCACCTGAATGAAAAGAAAACACAAAGAGACTCTGGAACCTGCTGATCCACAAACAGGTGGAAATTTCATTTAGTTCCTTCACACATGGCTTGTTCAGTTAAATTAGCTCGGCACACTGACTCACAGTGGTGGGGAAAAAGGGGCTTGTCTTGAACTTTTTTAGACACATGGAGCAGGTGTAAGTGCCAAAGAACAATATGAAGGACATGAGGGTGATGTCTGGGACAAAGTCGCAGGCTTTGCCCACCAGCTCTCCATTATACTTCAAACACTCGGTCCTGGAGAGGGACGACCACGTGGCATTCGGTGGCTGCGTGAGAGAAACAAACAGGTTAAATAAAGTTTGAGATCAAACTTCCAGATTAAATTAAACCAAAATAGCTGCTTGAGAATTTTCATCTTTTACAGTGTAAGAGATTCATAAAACAGTGCCCAGAAACACAGGAGAGAAAACCGAGAGCATCAGTGTTAATGTGGTGACTCTCCTGCAGAGGTTAATACAGCAAAGCACAGCGAGGGGTTTAGTCGAGAAGGTTTGGTTGCTCAGGTGACTCATCAAAAGAAACTATTAACCTGAAAATGATACATTTTAGTTTGTTTCTTAAAGAGCATCAAATAAAAGGAGAGAGACGCACCAGATCTGTGTTGTTCCAGAACCAGTCTGAAGTGCCTTCTAAAGGATCGCCAATGATGTCTGTGCTGTTTTCTGCAAGAAAACAACAAAACATGTTTCCTCTCAGCATGAGAGCTTTAATACGTTTAAAGGTTTCCAAAGTGACACGACTGAAATCTTATATGGAAAATTAATTTTACAGAGGCCATTTATGACATCTGACAATCAGCCTGGTAAACTCTGGTCAAGGTTAAGATACTTGCAGTACAGTACAAAGCTCAGCTATGACTTAACTTGTTACAGTGATTATTTTGCATTCATTGTGATACTATCTCAATATAAGTATTAGCTATCATGTTAAAGTGCCCTTGGGAACAGCCTTTGTTACCTGAGTGCATCCGAATGTCAAAGAAAATCAGCAGCAATCTGCTAACAATGAACTCAACAGCTACTTCATTTCAATAATGTCCCATCTACACAGAACAGCTTGAAGCAGACATAATAAGTGTTCAGACAATCTGACATTGAGACATCAATGCTTGTAACTTCTTGTAATCTGACACAAAGGATACAAACGTTTTATGCATTTATGTCTGCTAGGAAACTCTAGACCAAGCCACAGAAGAAGCAGCTACAATAAGAGGGAAAAGCATCAATACAACCTGACAGCTATGATTAGGTGCAGGATAAACTCGTTTTTATAGGTTAGCTTTTCCCTAATCTTTACCTTTGTTTTGGGCCATAATTTGGTTGATGTCTGTGTGAACATGTGCATTTAGCTTTAATGTAATATTCAAACTGAAACACTTTATTAATCTGTGTTTTTTAAAGTGTTACACAAATAAAAAGTACAGCTGTAGCAAATCTGATTAAAGAAAATGCACATGTGTACTGCTGCCTTTGCACCATAGACCTTTAGCTATGAATGCACTGCTGGTTTAACTTTATGCCAGTGGACTGGACGATCCACACAACTGTCGTTTCCTCTTTTCTATATTACACAATGCAGCAGCATTACTGTAAGCTGAACACAGAGCTGAACAGCACCAGCTGTGTTAAATTAAACCTCTGTTCTAACTGATAATTAGACATTAAACGCATCATATTGGTTTAAAAAAAGATCTCTGTTCTTATTCTCACAAGAAGATAAATTTCATGCATTGTTCTTAAAGATTCTGGCAAAACCTGTAACATTGAATAGCAGACCGGCTCATTGGCATGCGTGGACAAAACAGGCTGTACAGTGTGTAGATATGCCTTTAATTTAGTAACTACTCACCCAAGACAGTAGGAGCCATGCAGAGGCAGTCGTACTGCGTGACATAATCCATTCTGAAGTCAGGGTTGATTGGATAATGATGAGCTAATTTGATCATCTTCTTGAAGGCATCATAGATAAAGATGAAGCTGATGAGACAGGAGAAGCCCTCCTCAGTGAAGCGGGTGAAGTACTGGACCAAGTAGCTGGCATCAGTCGCCACGAGCAGCAGGCAGAAGAAAGCCGACCACAGGCCGATCCACAGGCGGAACTCCAAGTAGTCAAACTCATTATCTCTAAAAAAAAAAAGGGGGGGGGGGGGCAATGAGTCATATGATGGGACAGGGATGTGACTTTCAGAGTAAAACAACAATAGTATTATTGGAATTATAGACACTGAACACAATTTGCACAAAAACAGCACAAAGAACTGTGAATATTGTTTCTTAAAAAGTTATTGCTCAGTACAACATAAGCACAACTTATTGTGCTTTTCCTTATTTTCTGTTGAGTGCTGTTGTCATGAGGTCAGAGCAGATGTACCTAATGTGGCTGTGCAGAAAGCTCTGCACCACCTGCCCTCTACTCAAACCGTTTCAAGAGACAGCAAATGAGAATCGAGCTGGATTAAACAGAGCTAAAAGCCTTATTTCTGAATCAGCTAAGAATTGCACTGAAGCACGGTGATAAGTATAAATAAGGATCATTTTAAACTGTGACTCATTCATAGTCCAAGAATAAAACGCATCGCCTTTAACAGAATCAAAAAGACACAGTGACAGCTGAGATTTTCTAAAACACAGGGCAGTAACCAGGCATCTAAAAAACAGAGAGAATGGAGACCTACCTGCTGAAGTTGAAAAGCAGCCGTTCAAACACCAAAACGGGGCCAGTGCTGCTGAGGATGATGAGAGGCTGACCACCCAGCAGACAGAAAACGCCACCAGCAATGGCTGTGCCCAGAAAACTCTCCAGCACACCCTGCACACATGTTGGAAAGCAGTCAGGGAAACGCTCACAGTGTAAACGGTGAACGCTCTTCAAACCGTCACATGGTGCAAAAGCCTGACCTGCATGTTCTCCGTAGCATCTCCCAGCAGACCACCAAAGGTGATGGCGTTCGTTACAGTTCCCAGGTAAATAAACATAATAGCCGACAGGGCCTGAATGTGAAACGCGTCGGTGAAGTCACTGACAAAGAAAGGCGCTTTTCTCTTGATGTCAAGTTTGAGACCCCCACAAAACCTGAAACAGGACAAAGCAAAAGGTGAGTCGCTGTCAGTGGTATGGACTACTAAAGCCAGCAACTCGTTTTGATGCACCGAACATGACATTCACACACGCGACACTGGACAGTGTCGTTTCACTCAATATTCAATATGTTAGGTAAAAACAGTACAGTGCTCCCAACTATTGCATGCAGATGACATCGCTTTGTTCAAAGTGTCATACTTTCCCGTCTTCCTGAGCTCTTCACCCACAGCATGTCCTCCTCCATGACCTCCATCGTGAGGCATGTCTCCGTTCATCTGAGAGTCGCCTCCTGCATACATGTTTTTCCTGAAATACACATGAAGGCACAGATTTGTTCAGCAGCAGGAAGTCAGAGTACCTGATCCAGGTCCTACAGATACTGGTATGTGCTGGGAGATCGATCGATCATAGAAGAATCATAGAAGGTCAAGTTATTCTAGAGTTACTACATGCCAGCTTTATGTAACCAGCTCTTTCATAATTGAACACTGTTGTCCACCTGGATGCACCTCAGTGATTTTACTCTCCTGGAACATCTCATTTTTCCTCATTTTTCCGTCTTTTATCTACAAACGTCTTCTAATCTCGCACTGGTCCTCTGTGGATTTGTGTTAACATCTAGGCAGACATATTTTCATGCTGCTGGTTATTAAATGGCTCTTTTAGACACAAGCTGCCAGAGTTAGGGCAGACTTTGGGTCACATGAAGTTAGATGAAGTGTTTGTGCTGACACAGGTTTAATGAATGACCAGCACACTAATATACAGCCCCAGGTGTTTAAATCAATCAACTCTTTTGGTTTCAGATAAGATCACAGTGACAACTTCCCTCTGAACCACTAACGCTTATTTTTTAACATATTTTTTCCCCACAAACTCTGATATGACCCATTCTGCGTATCTTCTTTAGTGACAGGCAGCTTTTTCTTCAATCATCAAATCTGAATCATGTAAAACAGACAAGTTTGAGCTCACTGACCTTTTGTCAGAGGAGGGGAGGGATTTTGGAGGCTCTATCCTGATGGCTGGGTCCCATTCTCCAGGAGGAAGCACAATCACCTCATCCAGAAACTCGTCAATACCGGCCAGCAAATCTTGTCTGTCCTTGGCCTTATATGCAATGTCATGAAAGACCTGAACACACAGAGGGGGAGAGATGGGGCATTCAAGTGTAAAAGACACCTGTCAAAGAATCCAGGGTCACGGGGCAGCAAACTGCAATATCAGATCTAAGGATTGTGAACTAATCCCATCTGGTAAATCCCAAAACTCTGGAGGGGGACAGATACAGTTTGTTTTCATCAAAACAATGACTCTCATAATGTACCCCAGCATGAATATAACATTAAAGAGGTGCCTGTCCCATCTAGTTTTATTTAGTTTGCATTTAAGACCTGGTCCCACAAAGCGATAGGTGTTATTCATAACCACTCAATTATACAGTGCTGTAAATATCTCAGTGTCCACAGTGATACAGTACATTAACCTTTCATATTCATGGGAGGATAATGTGGTTCACTGGTTAAGTTCTCCTCCAGACACTGGCATGTGTTTGGAGGGGAGCATGTTTAATCAGGCTTGTTTTATTGAGTGTAATCAGGTGTGGGATAACTGCATGGGACGGGAACCCTCCTGTGTCACTGAAATCAAAGTTAGCTTGCTTAGTTCAGACTGCAGCGATTGTTAAAAAGACCGCTATAGCCTCCAAACTGGTTTCAGGTTTTATTATAAACTGGTTTTTAAACATTTTGTAATAAAACTTTATGATTCATCCAGCACAATATATGTTCTCAGCATGAGCTGCTACTATCTGAGGACTTTACAGAGCAGTGTGAAATAAATGAACCCTACATAGGTTACACTGCAGGGTCACTTCTGTGTGATGCCTGTTGTTTTGTTTCAGCTGGGGTTGTGTACCATGTTTATCAGTGGGGACAATAAAGTATCTATTGATTATATCTATCTCAATACTGGCAAATACAAATGTTAAAGAGGTCGATTTTCCTCATTGGAGAGCTTAAAATAATGCTAACTGCTACTGCAGCTAGGACATGTCGCTGCACGACTGCAAAGATTACTGATTCAGCTCGTTCCCCAGACACGATGTCCAAGAGTTCACGTGGCACCAGCACTTTATCCTAAACAGGTTTACGTGAGGATCACATTTTAATGTCTAATATCTAAGATCTTACCTCATCCGACATCAGTGTAGCGATCGCTCTGCCGATCTCGTGGTACGACTTGGCTTTGCCTTTGGGTCCAAGCAAGATGAATAAAAATCTGAAGCCACATTAAAAAAAACAGAGTTCAAATTTAACAAAAAGATTACAGGTTAAAAATATATTTTCTTATTTTAATTAGAGCCTTTTTGGGGCAGTTTGCATCTATTCAGATGCCATGCGCACACTTGGGGTCCCTGTGCAGTTTATAAAACATAACTCGAAGCTCAGAGACATTTTTGTTTTGTTCTGGCTGCAAAGATGCTGCTTTGTATGACAATCATCTATTCAGCTACTCTCCAATACAGATACGAGCAGTAAAGGATGTTGCTCACTATAAGAATAAACAAATGATGATATAATGGATATGACACCATAACTGAGGCCTTGTCGTATAAATACCATGAACTAGCTTTAAATACTTTCACTGAAAAGTACTGAAAGTTAAATTGTTTTATGGCTCCTTTGCTTAAATATGAGAACAGACATCAGGTGTCAGTGATCAAACTTTATGATGCTTGTTTCAGTGAACAAACATCAGGTGAAACACCGTCATACATCTGTGTTTTACAGCTGTGATGCAATACTCTTTCATATTTTACTGTTTGTTGATCATAATAAAATATCCGGAATTATCATATAATCCACTTTTTATTGGATTTTGCAGTGGAGCTTATTTCAAGCTCCACAGTTACTATGTTACTGGTGGACTGTGATACTACAGCAGCTTTGCATGATTCACAGTTCAACATTATCATCATTTCCCTTTAAGCTAGGTTTATTCTGATTGGCTGCCGCTCTCAAAAGAAAGATTTGAACATCGGCCTCCTGTGCTCATTGTCAGAGCTGTGTGCCTGAGATATCCACTCTGATTCATTCACATTCAGAAGACGTGACAGAAAATAAGGAAAACGTATTAGGTTCCTGTCAAAATGTATAAACAACACATCCATGTTGCAAACGGACAACCAGGAGTCTGGATTGGACAAAATTTCAGGCACCTTGTGGGAACAGGAACCTCCGTCAGGGCTCCCAGCATCACGGCCTGCTGCAGACGAACAAACGCCACAAAGGGCGCGTCCAGGAAGTCCACCTCCCCCACCAGCACGTTGGAGGCTTCTGCGTCTCTTGGCAACTTCTTCATGAATTTGTTCTTCAGCTGAAAAGCACAAAAGAGAAAAGCAACAGGAGTTGAGAGGTGCTCCGTTCACACCAGCAAGCCGTCTAGAAGCACGCACTCGAAATTAAAAAACCTATATCAAACGAGGCAATCCCATTCAGGTTAAATACCAAACCAGGCGTCCCCCATGGTGCCTAAATAAGAAGCAAGCAGTAAAATGAGCATTTCTTCTCGACGTAATGGCACAGACATGCCAGGAGGTCAGCTACATGTGTGTCTTTCATGGGACTTTTATCTGTACGACGGCTCATCCTTATGTCATTAATGTGTTTGCATAGACAGAGAGGGGCGGCAGTAAACCAGTGAGGTGTTAAAGACGGCTTCAGTTTGGATTCGGTCATTTTTCAGAGGTTTGTTTTTTTCATGCTTTTGTTGCAGTCGTGGATTTAATGTTTTCTTTTTTATCCTTTTTAGTGCACTAGAGCAGCGGTCCCCAACCCCCGGGCCTCGGACCGGTACCAGTCCGTGAGTCGTTTGGTACCGGGCCGCGAGAGTTGAGGCTCAGGCGTGAAATGTTTGGTTTTCAGGGTTTTTATCGGTTTCCAGCGTTATTATGTTATCGTTTTTTATCGTTAACTCGGTTTTCCTGGGTCTTTTCACGTATGTTATGAATAAATCTTCTTTTTTTCGGTACCGGTACTAGTTTTATTTTGTTGTATTTATCCGCGACACCTTAAAGGCCGGTCCGTGAAAATATTGTCGGGCATAAACCGGTCCGTGGCGCAAAAAGGGTTGGAGACCGCTGCACTAGAGTTCTTGTTGGCAACCAACAATTATCGGTCCAGACGAGTTTTGAGGCACCAAACTGAGTAACAAATACTATTAAAAGTGACTTGAAAAGCAGCTCTGCCAGCTTGGTGCGGTCAGACTGATGCTGCTAAAAGACGTTAGATAGCCTGCTGTACACACAGACTAACATACATATTCAAATGACAAGCAAATGCAGATGACATACTGGGCTTTCTCAGCGTCTAAGGACTGAAATCCCATAAACTTGTGACCTTCCACTGTTAACAGCCAAACAGATCCAATCACAGGCTGTTGGGCCATCTTGGCAAAGAGTTTGTCTGTAAATGATTCAAGTCAAGAGGTTAAACCTGTGTAACTGCACACCACGGCCTGTGTCCAATCCCAGCTAATCCACACCGCGCTCGTAAACCACGTACACCTGAATCTGTTGTTTACTGCCCTAAGACACAAACGCAATATGCATGGACCTGAAATGTTTATTAGCACGTTTAAAATGAGCCAGTGCAAAGATCAAAGTGAGATCTGAGATGTGACGTGTTAAGAAATTAGAGGCACCAAAAACCCACTAAAAGCATCCCAACATTTTCAGAACTGCGTTTGTTGAATATGATACAATATAATATTTAGATGTTGTTACTCAGGTTCAAATTTAAACTAATACTTGTAAGTCCTTGCAAAAGTAATACACTGTGAAGAGAAAATTAATTATATACGTTTGTAATTCATCTGTGCACCTCGAGTGGCTGCAGTCTCTGTATGTTAATCTGAACAGCTCCCGTCTTTATCTTATCTCTACATTAGCAACAAGTTATCAGTCACGATCGCGCCATGTGGAAACGTCATTATGGTATTTATGGGCTGAGTGGGTGTGGAGGAGCTTCGGTTTAGGAGATTCGTTTCCTGCCTGGGAGTCTCTAATCTGTCCCACAGGAGACTCACTGGGTCCCTCTGACTGGGTCGCTCTGACCTAATTCCTCTCTCCCACAGGCCTCGTCTGGGATGAGGGCATATAAAACATTGTCTGCTGTGAACTGGGGTAACATGACACATGGAATATGACAATACATACAATGAGAATGCATAGAGTACAGTCCAGAGAAGAGCTGCCATTTCAACCCAACATCACAACAAAACGTGTAATAGAAACGCCGGTCCACTGTGTCCATTTGGCACTTTGCTTCTATGAATCGTATGACACGCATGCAGAATTTGCAGTAAGTTGCAGTACTCTGCAGTAACAGCAGGGGGAGATTTTATTTGAGTGTTTAACAGACATTATTATCACATTTATATGTGTATGTACACATTAACTGCTTAAGGCCTTTGGAATGTACTTTTTTTGAGCTTCTGTAGATCTTCACCTCACGGCTTTAAATGTATTAGCGCCCCCTGGTGGTAATGCAATTTCTGCATGCTATGACATGGTCGACTGGTGTGTCTATTCTCCATCGTGCCGTGATACTGGGTTGGATATTTTCATGAGAAAGTAACTCACTGATTAGTTTAGATTAATCTGACTTTGTTAAATCTACTCAGTCTGGAAAATAAAATAATTTGTTCGTTTTAGTAATCAGCACTGCTACAATGTTTTTGCATTTATCCAGTCAGAAGAGTTTACATGTCACATTTCTGACTCACACAGGTAGACTACATGAGAAATATTCCAGGAGCTACACTTTGGTAATAAACAACCTTTGCAGATGCTACTACACATGTTGGCATACAAGTAGTAAGGATAAGATAGCGTGAGGGCAAAGGAGCAGCGTGTCTCAAGTGTGTGGAAGCCTCTGACAAAAACCCAGAGGAAAACTGTGTTATGTCCTGTGGGCGTGTTAGATGATCTAAATATAGCAACAGCGCCAAGTATTTGCCTCGTTCCCGATTTCTCCATTTTTTGTATGTTTTTTGCACTTAAATGTTTCAGATCAAAGAAATTTTAATATCAGACAAAGATAACCTGAGTGAATACAAACTGCAGTTTTTAAATGATGGTTTCATTCACTAAGGGAAGAAAACTATCCAAACTATCCACCTGCCCTTGTGAAAAAGTCATTGCCCCCTCCACGTAATTCGTGATGAACCCTATTGTTTAAAACCTGGGTTACGACACCTGTCATGTGTGTTTGTTTCTGTCTGAACAGCTCACTGTGTTATGGTAAATCCCTGCTGCGATTGGTGCGTGGAAGTATGGCTCCGGAATGACTGGTTCCAGCTGGAGGACCCGTCTTATAAATATAGCCTGGAGCACCGCCGGCAAGAGAGGTTCTTGTGCTTCCCCTAACGCCTGTGACAGCCGCCGGGTGCAGTGCTCCGTAACAGTTGAGGAAGTGGGGGAGCGAGTGCCTCATCCATGCTATGACCTGGCCCCTAGACGGGTTGTAACATGAACTGGGGCTCATCCGCACCCGAAGTGAGAATCATTCCTCTAGACTCAGTAACAAATGTCACTGATTCCTGCTAAACAAGACAAAGTAAAGTAGGCTCAACAATCTCAAAATGAAACGCATCATGCCACGATCTACAGCTGTCTCTATCAGTCTAGAAAGGGTTGCAAAGCCATTTATAAGGAACTGCAGTGAAACACAGTAAGAGCCATTATGGAAAAAATAAATGGAAAAAATGAAACCGTTGTGAACCTTTCCAGGAGTGGTGAGCCTACAAAAATTACTCCAAGAGCCCAACAATGACTCATCTGACTCAGCATCCAAAAGACAATAAGAAAGACACAGAGTAAAAATGTAAAGAGAAAAACACCGCAGACCAAACACAATACAAAGACATAGCTCAGATTTGCCAAACAACATCTTGATGATCCCCAAGACTTTTAAGAAAATATTCTGTGGATCGATGAAACAAAAGGTTTCATACCTGTTATATCTGGTGTGGAACTACTTCAGCATTTCATGAAAAGAAAATCACACCAACAGTCAAACATGGTGGTGATAATGTGTTCGCCCGGGGCTGCTTTGCTGCTTCAGGATCTGGAAGACTTGCTGTAATTGATGCAACCATGAATTCTGTTTTCTACCAGAAAATCCTGAAGGAGGATGTCAAGCCATGAGTTTTGCTCAAGTGCACTTGGGTTTTGCAGCAGGACAATAATCTGAAGCACACCAGCAACTCCACCTCAGAATGGCTCAAAAGACAAATAAAGGGTTTGGTGAAGACTCCTCAAAGCCCGAGATGCTCTGGTGTACCTTTAACAGGCAAATTCCCCCAGCTGTAGCTGAATGAAAACTATTCTGCAAAAAAGATTCTGCCAAAGTTTCTCCACAATCACATGAAAGCCTCACGGACACTTATCACAAACACCCGACTGCACTTCTTGCTGCCAAGGGTGGCACAGCCAGTAATTAGGTTTAGGGGGCAGTTACTTCTTCACCGAGGGCTGGTAGGAAAAAGTTTTTTAGTCTTTTTTGTCCTCTTAATAAATTAAACCATGATTTGAAAACTGCATTTTGTATTTACTCGAGTAATCTTTGTCTGATATTAAAATTTGTTTGAACTAAAAGTGAGAAATCAGGAACGGTGCAAACACAGTTTAATGGCACTGTAGACCAGCAGTCCCCAACTTTTTTTGCACCACAGACCGGTTTATGGCCAACAGCATTTCATGGACCGCCCTTTAAGGTGTCGCAGATAAATACAACAAAATAAAACCAGTACCAAAAAAAGAAGATTTATTGATAACACGTGGGAAAAGACCCAGGGAAACCGAGTCAACGATAAAAACAATAACACTAAAAACCCTGAAAACCATCAGTTTCACACCCAAGCCTCAACTCTCGCGGCCCGGTACCAAACGACTCACGGACCAGTACCGGTCCGTGCCCCGGGGTTTGGGGACCGCTGCTGTCGACTGTAAGGCTGCAGAGGAAATTCAGTCTCTCTTTGCTGTTGATGACATCATCCTTTATCAGCCACAGCCTGATCCTCACTGCAGTCTAAAGTTGCTACAAAAATTTCCACTTTAACCATCAAAGGAAAAGGCGGGGAAGGTTCAGAGCAGCTACAGCAGGCTGGGTGATAATACCAGGAGCTGGAACAATGCACTTTAGACAATGTTATCTCTGCTGTGAAGCAACAACCACGAAATACTCCGACGGGCCTCCTCAGCTCTGTTACATCCAGCCTACACCATGCAGCTCTGTCATGGAGTCTAGTCAGGCTTTTCTCATCTCTTCTGCCAATGCACTAGCTTGTTTTTAGCCTCAAGCTCGAGAAATCAGACAAGCTGGTTCATTATAAATGTTTCAGAATAAAACAGATTAATAAAAATAATCAAGCGTATTGTTACAACTACACCACCTTAAACTGGGAACTTGGGAATACAGAGATCCATCCCCTTCATTTTCCAGGAAATATAAACCTCTCACCACTGAGTCTGATGGATTGGTGAGGGTTGGTGTCCAGAAACAGTACAGCAGATGCATGAGGGCGACTTACCTGGTCTTTCTCCGGTTTGTCAGAGACGTCATTCAGGCTGGTGGATGTCAGGTTCCTGGGAGTTGTGGTGGGACTATCTGTTCAGACAGGGCAACATTGACTAGTTAGACCAGCTTCACCCCCACTGTGGTCTAAGACTCAAGAGGAAAAGAGGCAGAAACCCAAAGTGGCCCAGACAATTAGCTCCTTACATGCTTTGCCAAAAGAAGAAAAAATCCAACAGAAATACTCGTGCAAGCTGTAGGACAAAAGCTATTGTCTGTGATAAAGTAACTGGCCGATATTTAGGTCTAACCCGTCGGGTATAAAATGTGTGATCAGATCAAATATCAACTTTTTACTTTGAATTTCAAATAAAAGAAGGCAGGAGGTCAAAAACGAAGAGTAAAATTACCATTATTAATGCATCTTTCTTGAGGTTCAATCAGCTTGTTGTGCTTTGATAATAATGAGATCTAGTGTCATCATTCTTACTGTCACATTTAAAGCCTTACTCTGTGGATGGACTTAATGGGTGCAGACACAAAATAAGTAGAAGATGATCCTGAAATGTGACAGCAGAACAGGCTTCAGTCCAGAGATCAGAGGGAAAGAAAAACCTCAAAGAATGCAACAATCTGGTGCCACTGCAGCCTTTCATGCATCTGCACCTTTGGCACTGTTGGTAATAACGTGCATGTCAGTATGATGCAGCCAGATAATTTTTTTTATAGGTGTAGTGTAGGTGAGAGAAAATATTCTTTAAAAACAACCTGAGCTGACAGGGATTATTCACCATCAAGTACTTGCATCTAGTGAAATTTCAAGCTAGTCGTGACTACATTCAAGCTGCAGGTCATCAGCACAAAGATGCCCTCGGACACAACTTTACGATCCGCTGTCTGTATTTTTAAAAAAGCCTCAGTTTGAGACTAAATTTGAACTCTCTGGTCTTCGTTTCTTTGTCGCCAAATGGAAGCTCACCAGGGGTCTGCAGTGTGAATGTAGACTTCAGTGAACTTACTGAGCCAGTCCATACTGGAACTCCTTTGGGTCTGCAAGTCCTCCATTGAGATGCGACCTGACAGGCAAGTCACAGAGTTCTCGAGAGGACTGCGGGCTTTTAGTGGCAGCAGCAGGTTATCAAAGCCAATCCAGGGAAGCAAAGAGGACGAAAGAGAGATGGAAAGCAGAGTTGACAGAAAAGCCCGCTGAGCCAAAGCAGAAGATTTGTTAAATGCACAAAAGATCAAGTGGCTGTTAAAATATGTGAAGACATGATATTGCTGCAATTGACAAGCCGTGCAGAGATACAGTGAGGAAAGAGGAGGGGCATCATTAAATGAGGACATCATGGGTCTTTGGACAGAAGTTTGACCTGCACTTTAATAAGTCAGAAAATAAACTTTATCCTTGAAAAGATGGTAATCAAGCAATATTTATCAGAGTGGCTCCTTATCTTTGCCGTGATAAGAGGACGAGCACAGCTAGAGCTGGGTCATGAACACAGAAAGCCTTTTCTTTGATCGTCAAAGTTCCTGAAATCTGATAGTGGCTAATAAATAACTTCACTTTCCAAAGGCCCATGACTAGTAACAGATTCATTCCACTGTCAACACAATAAACATTTAGTAAATCAATATTTGACAGACTACTAATCCACATGTTGTTAACATCAGTAAGAGCTGTGTGGTGGGGCTGTCACTTTGAGTTCTTCATCAAGATATTTCTGAAGATTTTGTGCCAGAGTGAAATTTCATTTATCCCGGGACAAATGAAACTTATCCCGGGAGTGAACTAATGATTATTTTTTAAAGAAGAATTTTTAAAAAAAGTTAATTTTCTGACAACTTTCAGCAAAACAAAGTCACAGCTCTGTAAATAAAACATGCATTTCCATGAATTTAATCAAAACTAAGAGTTAATTGATTTGAAACGTTACTGTTAACATGAATCATAAATCTAGAAGATTGTGACCAAAGTAGCAAACACCAGAATCCTATGATTTCAGGTTTATGATTACTCCTGTGGGTCGTGAAGTCTTGCCCCAGCTCACTTCTTCAGAGTTAAAGAGGACCCATTGTTCTCTCTCATATTAAAGTTAAGGTTTACAGAAATGACTTGTTCATGTGACTTTATTTATCAGATGTAAGAACAACTGCAACGGCTATGGTTGAAAAAAACCCTCTTTCAGTTCTAAGGTTTTATGCATGAGGACATAAAAAATCATCTGAGCAGGCTCTAAAATTAACAACAGCTTGTGGAAGAACGTAATAACTCGAAGTAATAATCTTTCTTTATGACTTTATCAGTCTCACATCATCGTGGAGGAATGTTGGCCAGTCGTCTTTACAGCATTGCTTCAGTGCACAGAGATTAGTGAGCATTTTTTTGATGCACAGCTCTCTTTAGGTCCCGCTGCAGTTCTTCAGTCATGTTCAGGTCTGGACTTGTCTTTTTCTGTTTTAATGACCAGTTTGCATGAACAAATTTATATCATGTTTTGGTCATAGGACAGATGACCTCACGTCGGACTGTAGGATACTTCGACTGATCGACTGGTCGAGTGCAAGGTGTCCGGGTCCTGTGACTCAGAAAAATAACCCAGCTCATCACCCCTCCACCAGTGCTGACAGCTGGTATCAGCTGTTTGGTTTTCTCCAAACATGGCACTGTGCATTATGGCCAAATACATCCACTTCAGTCCAAAGGATATTGTTCCACAAGTTTGCTTGATCAGACTGAACTTAAACCTGATCTGTCCTGCCATGTTCCTTCTAGAGAGCGGAGCCTTTCTCCTGGCTGCCCTTCCAAACACTACTTCTTTACTTTTTTGTACCATCATGAACTTTGCCATAAAAAGCTAACAGAGGCCTACAGAGTCTGGTCTTGTGTTTTTTTTTACAGTATCCTTGATCACATGCATATCTCTGTAGAGCAGGGTTGGGGAACTCCAGGCCTCAAGGGCCGCTGTCCTGCAGGTTTTAGATGTGTCCTTGATCCAACACAGATGATTTAAATGGCTAAATTACCTCCAGGATCTAAAACCTGTAGGACACCCTTAAATCCTGGAGTTCCCCACCCCTGCTATAGAGCTACTGACACTTGCTGATGATCATCAGAATTAAGGTTAATTAAGGTTGTCCATCTGATGTTGTATTGAATGAGTTTAAACCTGTTAAGGATACGATTATTTTTTTTATTATGTCCTGATACAAAAAACCTAGAATTGACAGAGGGTGTACTTCCTTTATACTTGACTGTAGATGACTAATAAATAGGTCCCCTTTAAACCTCTACCTCTGTTTATGTAGTTAGTACAGTACCCTGCAGTGAGTCCACTTAAAGCGTTAAAGTGCAAAAGACATTTCTGAACTTTACTAATTTTACTCAATTATTCTTTAGCTTTGGTGTTAATGCAGGTCGAGTTATTCAGGTTGGTTCTTTAGTGTTTTCCCTCATCTGCTGGTTCCAGCTGGAACTGTGTTTAAAGCCCCATTAGTGGGTTCATGCAGAGGAGGGCAGCAGTGTGCCCCTTATGACACACTGTGGTATTCCTCAGAACCCACTCTACATCTTTTTCTTCACCTAACAAAATTCAATGTCGACTCCATTCTGCAATTAGTTTATTCTTATAAAATAGCAATCGAGCTTTAATTATTTAAGCTAAGACTGCACCAAACTGGCATCAGTATTACCATTTTCCGGGGTGGAAAACAGCCTACTTGCACTGGACACCGTCTTCCCGATGTCAGCCAGAGAGCGCAGGTTGGACTTCTTGGTCTGGTGGCGATGTTTCCGCAGCAACGTGTACATCACCTTGTCCTTAAGTTCGGCCTTCAGCTGGCCGATCTCTATCTGGTTGTCAGTGATCATCTCTGAAAATGCAGAAAGAGACGAGGCGAGGAAGAGAAGGTGAAAAGCTGAGTTAAAGTTTAAATGCAGGCTTTAAATACTCTGCATTAAAGCAAAGACACTGTGGATGCATTTTTTAATTACTGCTTAATTTCTTGAGCTTTAGGTTTAATTAGGAGCAGAAGAATTCAGAAGAATCCAAAGAAAAAAAAAATATATATATATAAACAAAACATGAAATTTAACATGTTAGATTGAATAAACACTTTTTTGCAACATGAACAAAAATAAAATATTGTTTTAAGTTTATTGCAAAGGTGCCACCTGTTTCAAGTTTTATAAATTAAAAGATGAGCACAAAGAGTAAAATTATATTGTGCTGTTCTGTCAAATGACACTTTAATTTGGGGTCTCTTTCTTTCCCCACCCTGTAGCATTTTACTCAAAAAGGTAGACTTGGCAACACTATCACCCAAAACAGGTCACCATAAAAGTCTCTTCATACTTTAAGGACTCAATTAGTGCCTCCCAGACTCTAATGCTCCTCTTTATGGCATCATGAAATGGCTCAATCAAAAGGTCTAGTCTATTTTTGAAAAGAAGGTCAGTAGCCTGAATGCTGAATGAAAGCAGCCCGGGGCAGTTCCTCTTCTTGTGTAAGGGTAGTGCTGTTAATGGCCTATCAGTCAAGTCAGCAGGCCTCAGAGCAAGAGGCCCAGCTCCACTCCGCCCAGTGCAGCTCACGCAGCACAGACAATTACTTCACATTAATCACTCCAAGTGGTAACTCTTCTTCCTGCTCCCTCATGCAGACAAAAATGTTGGGGTGGTGGCATGAGATAGGAGGACACAGAGATATAATCATCTTAGAGCAACTGGAGAAGGTTAGCTGCCCTCAGATTAGGAAGTTTTTGTGTGGCCATTTAGTCCAAACTATAGTCAACTAGTGCTGTAATGTAAAGTACAGCGTGGCCTGCAACTCAGCTCTTTTCTCGCTCTTAAAAGACGGGAATGAAAAGAAACCTGAGTGTTTTGATGCGCATCAATCCGTGAACCTGCCGACCTGCTCTGCACACGCTGCACATCACACAGCTGATTTAATCAAGCTGGCAGACGGGCTGTTGTTTCAGAGCAGGAAGATGCTGACCTTTAGTATCGTTACGCAGCAGTAAAAAATAGTGATGTGTAAGGGAGAAAAAACGAAACGATCAAACCGCAGAAAAAAATATTCTTACATCAAAGAAATCTGTCAGTTCAGTTCTTTCACACTCTAAAGCACTTTTGTGCTGGACTTTGTTAAGTAATACGATTTTTTAGGGATAGAGATCCAGACTTATTTACATTTTATATTGTATCTCCCAAAAATTCAATTTCTTCATATTCAGACTCAGCAAAAATAATTTTACTTCTAATCATAGAGATAATTCAAAGTTTAGAGTTCATGGAATGGTAAAAAATGAAAAAATAAAACTTATTCCCTCAAAAATTTTTTAAAATATTTCCATAGAGGTCGCTCTATTACAGTTCCATGAATGGCCACTTGAGGCTTGCTGCAAAGGTGAGTCAACCCCCATTTACTCCCATGTCGCTACCCGGAGTAGTGGCCTTTCGCACGGTACCGATCGGGTTTCCGGTACCGATCGGGTAGTGACACACCCTGCTACAAAAAACCTTCACGGTATCTGTAGTACGGTGGCCCTGAGAGGTCAATTACACAAACATAATGGAAGTGTTTCTGGGGACACAATAACATGACGGACCAGCTGTGGAAGTGTCCGTCACATTATTGTCTCCCCAAAAACACTTACGTCGTGTTTTGTGTGTTTGTTTTGGGGGCTTTTGGGGTTGTTTGGGGGGTTTTATTGAGCATTGTTCTGTTTTGGCCACCGGACTATAGCCCATTTTGCCCTTCACAACAGCTCTTCAGGGTCTGTTTTTTTTTTTAAATAACACATTTGTTTAAATGTTATCGAAGTTAAAAGTTCGCATCACTAATCTCAGCTTTTAAAAGCAGAGTTGAGGTTGAATTTTTCATGAAATTATCTGACAAATGTCATGACTTGGTAAAGTACCATCAGCTAATAACTTTAAATTAAATAACTTAAAAGAGGGCTTCACATGCTGGATGAGATCACCGTGGCTATAGCCATCATTTATATGCAGTCTGAGGTTCTCATCATAGCCCCAACCAGGAGATGAAGCTGAAACATTGTCCACTTATGTATCTCTGCAGTGAGACCACTTTAATTTACATATGAAGTGGGATGAAGACACTTTGGTCCTGCTGCTACTTCCACTTTAACCTTCTCTCAACCATTGTGGTTGAACTATGTGAACATAACCTTTTAAAGATACAACACATCTATTATTGAAGTAAAAGGTGTTCTACTGCACTTTTAACCTCACAATCACAGGATGAACTGCAGCTTTATATGAATTTGTTACAGCTGTGATTACACATCATGGCGATAATCACTCGATGGGTTAAATTAATTTGTAGCTGCTGGAATTAAAAATAAAAAAAACAAATTATTTTTGAAGAGATGAGCTTACCAACAACCTGAGGTAGCGTGGAAGCTTCCAGGTCCAGCATGATGGTTCCTTTTTCTATACATGTCCTCAGTTCAAATAGGCTGTGTAAGGACAGCGTCGCCACATGAGGTTTACTCCAGCGTTCTCCACCTTTCTCCACCTTCTCCTCAAACTTGATCCACCTGGATTCAAACAAAAAAGAAAAAAGACTCAGACAGGTGCACGATTTAACATGAAAATCTTTTTATCATAGTCTTGGATAAACATTTACATTATTTTATTTTATAGAAATGTACTAAGCAGTAACCTGCTAACTTGAGGGGAAGCAGGCATACCAAAAACAGGCTGTACAGTCAGGATGCAAGAGGAGAGATATCAGTGTTAGAGAGTAAGTATGGGTGGCTTCGAGGCATCACAAGTCTAATTTTAGCCCAAGCTATTCTCATAATGTCAGAATGTAGAGTGTCACAATGAACAAGAGCCTGGTGAAAAATGCCACCACTAAAAATATCTATGCAAGTATGTATTGCACTTCTACTACTTTGAAGATTAGGCTTCAAACTTTCCTTTTTGCTAAAGCATATAAAGCATATAGTTAGGGCTGGACCAGGTGACCCTGAATCCTCCCTTAGTTATGCTGCAATAGGTGTAGGCTGCTGCGGGATTCCCATGATGCACTGGGTGTTTCTTCTTCAGTCACCTTTCTCACTCACTATGTTTTAATAGACCTCTCTGCACTGAATCATACTTGTAATATGTCTTTGTACTCTCGCCCTTCTCTCACCCCATCCGGTCTGCCGGAGGTTTCTTCCTGTTAAAAGGGAGTTTTTCCTTCCTACTGTCGCCAAAGTGCGACATGACCGTTGGGTTTTTCTCTGTACGTGTTATTGTAGGGTCATTAACATCCAATATAAAGCGCCTTGAGGCAACTGTTGTGTTGATTTGGCGCTGTATGAATAAAATTTAATTAAACTTTGTCTTGGGAAAAAAAGGAAAAGTAAATATTGTCAAATATATGACAAACTTAAAGAATTATTTCATGCTTTTTGCTCTTTAGTCCAAATTATGAGCCATCAAATGTACGCTTGGTGGACCTGTTGACGAGGGTCAGCCATTATTTTTTAAATCAATCAATTTTTCATTTTTCATTATTGGGAAAAAAACTGGATTCTGAGTCTGCATTGTTATATTTTTTCTGCCATTCTTCATTTCGACAGCTCAGAGTGAGAGACCTGAGAATCAGAGGTGTTACTGAGCGGCTGTTTCTCTACTGCGGTTTTAATCTGGCTGCCAAAACCACACTTGGCAGGCAGTCAGCACTGCCCAGCACGTCGCAGAGCTTTTATTCAGTTTGAGTCCTCTGAGTGTACTCATCAAGATGCTGCACAAGTTCTTAAATTTTGAACTACAACTCTTGCACTGCTGTCCTCAGCCTGTTTTTTTTTTTTTCCATACAGTTTCTGTATGCTAAAGATTTTTATTTTTAGAGACTGAAAAAATATGCTGCATCCTCTTCTATCAAGTAGAAGCTTTTTTATTGCTTTTTATTAGATTTTTTCAGACGGCTGACATGAAATGATGGGAATCATTACTCCCGAGGCCACACTTACCTATCATAGTGTGTTTCAAACATGTGGTCCAGTGCAGGTTAAATTATGCTGAAGTTTCTCCAGAGCTGACCGAATATGACTGAAGGATCAGCCCCTCATCTGATCCTTCAGTCATATATAATAACTTCCTGTGTGCAGTAGGCACGGGGGCGGAGGCTGGACAATTTTATCGTCAGTCATTAGAAACGCTGGCAAAAAGGCCAAATTTAAAACAACAGTCAACTAGATTTAAAGCAGAACTTAGCAATTAAAAGCTTCACTGAGTTTAATTAAAAGCAATTTTAAAGTGCACTAAAAATGTCAGCAGTACTTCTGCAAACTGTTTAAACAACAGTGAATCAAAACTTCTACAGTATGTCTGAGTTTAGGATAATGAATCGCTGATTGGGTGCCTCGAGCAGCGGTCCAGAGACTCTGTTTCCTCCTGAAAGAACTTCACTCATCCACTGCTAATTATGTATAAACAATCATCCCATCTCTGTCCCAGTGTGTCCCACTAGAGAGCCACTCAGAAGAAACCAGTAAAACTCTGAGCTCAGTTTTAAACTTGGAGCTGTTTTCAAATGTCTGTTCACTGTTTTTCCATAAAAAACAAATATTCATTCCTTTTGAGATAAAAACTTAACGTGAGGCTGGTTTTTCATCATTTTTATTCACATTTTTAGTGACTCCGTGAAAGGATATGATTTTAACAAAGCAGATACACACAAAGAGGATCTTACCTGGCCGTCTCCTTCCACTCCATCTCCTGTCCGTCCACTGACAGGAGCTCATCCAACTCAGTGAAGAGCTGTGGGGGTGCCGGGCCATCGTCGTCCTCACCTAGGATGAAGCGAATCCTCTCTGCTGCTGGTGAGACTGTGGAGAGAGGAAAGATACTGAGGTTCATAGGCTGGCAGTGGTGCCCGTTGGGCAAGGGCTTGGGCACTGGCTTTTCGTCCTCAGCTGGACTCTTCACATTGACCTCAGTAGGAGGTGGAAGCAGCGCAGTGTTCACTGTGACCTCCTCTCTTTTATCTTCAGCGTCCTCTTCTTTTTCCTCCTTCTCTTCTTGATTATTGTTGTTGTTGGACATCTTTAAAATCTGACCCCCCTTTGCTCTCCAAGTCAGCTGACACAGCGTTTGCTTAACAGACTGTAGTCTGCAAGTGTCACAGGCTCACCACAGTCCCAAAGCACCAGCTAGACCCTCATTAAAATCTTCGGTGGAAGTGACAGCAACTCTCAGTTGCCTGCTCCAGCACTTTGTGAAGCAGGTAGGAGGGGGCTGATTGGGTTTAGGGTCCCCCTCAGTGACAGTGGCCCAACAGCTAGCCCCAGTCCACCCCCCCAACCCCCCCTTCACTTTTCAAACAGTTCTTCGCCATTGGCCCTCCAGCCTTGGCAAGCTGTCCTGAAGCCCCTCATTAACAATTAGGAAATGGTTCACAAACTGGTCCATTCTTCAGCTCAGGCTTGGCTTTCCTTCCTCTTGTCTTCTCATTTGAATATTGAGAGAGTGACACATAAGTGAACCCAGCACAGTTCCAGCAGGAACAATAACGGTGTAATACTCCTCAGTATTAAACATGGTGCAAACAGTCGACGTGACAACAGCGTCTTTCACTGAGTGAAACAGACAATATCTGAACATTGCTTCTGAACCCTACTTTTTACTGGACCCACACAACATCACTATAGACACAGACACCAGAAACCTGCACAGTATCCACGAGTGCCTAAAACTGAACAGTGAGACATAAAAAGAGCACAACTACCATTAATAATCACTATTATTTAGTAACTCTGTCCTTTGGCTGGTATCACATGTCAAAATTACACCTTGAACTTTTTTAAAGCAAATGTCACTGAAATTCAGACTCTGTACTGCTCAATGCAGAAGCTCATGTTACATTTAAGATCATGTCTTCATTTAACATTTTGCTGATCTTAAAATTTAACGTTTACTTCAGTATTGTCTAGAGATGGACCGATCCGATATTACGTATCGGTATCGGACATAAAAAAGTGGTATCGTGCCATCTCTAGTATTGTTGTGGCGTGAATAGTGCGGGGCTGTAATTCTAATTTGCTGATATTTTTTGTGCTTGTCTTGGGCTCCAGCTTTTAAATGTTTAAATCCAGAATGAATAGCCCTGGCTTTTAATTAGCTGGCAGCACGCATCGCAGTTAGACAGATAACGTGGTTATTCAATAACCGATTAATGTGGTGTTGGGGGCTTGATTTTACAGCTTCTATTGATCTGTTCTGATGGCTCTCCAGGCTTTCCTGCAACCTGACATGTGAGACTTCAGATTTTAGCCCGGATCCCCCAAAAAAGCCAAAAAAGCAAACATTTGCTCACAAAACTAGTAGATAATACTGTACACTGCAAAACATAAGCTGCGTAAATCAGTAAATACTCTCAATTTAATATATCTATGCTAAATTTTGTACTTTGAATGTGAAGCACTTAAGAAGTCGCATGAACTTAATGGTTTACCAAAGTAAATGGCTTCAAAGTTTAAAGGTAAATGCATTTTATACTACCCTAGTTTGCAAGTGTAAACTCAGGAAAATGTTGCAGTAATTTCCTGTTTTTCATAGCGAGCTAAGTGTTTCTACACAATTATTACCTGTTAAGAAACTATGAACATTTATCAACATTCAGCAACATTAACCCTCAACATTCATCTCTGCAGGAGGCTGTTGCTAGCTAAACCGTCACACAAACTCTTGGAACCACATCACCCACAGCGTCGAAGTCACAACAAAACACAACATAACAGAAACAATGATCACAGCGTGACTGAATTAAGGTTTTGAAAATGAAGTTGTGTATGTACAGCTATATGCAAAACTTAGAAAACTAGTAAATATTAGGAGGCAGTGATTAAAGTTAAATATGGACTTTACTTGGCTCTCTGTGACATTACTAATGAGGTGTTCTTGCATCCCTGTTGTTACTAGCATCACTTTGAGTACCAGGTCTTTTCAGTGACCATTCCTTCAGTGGCTTTTTTGAGGGTTAAGACTTGGATTTACGGTAAAGATCCAGGAATGAATCGCCTTAAGAGCACAGAATTATAACTCTGCTCACACATGTGTGTGTGTCTCTGTGTGATAGCAAAGCCAGCTGATCAGATTACACAACAGCTTGCTAATACTGTAGCACCAGAGAGCTACTACAGTGATGGATATATTTACCATGGAGCATCTTTATTTCTCAACAGGTAATTAGTAAAAATTTGCTTTTGTTTCTTAATCTTCTGAGTCTGTAGGAGCTTCTGAAGCCACCACCATGGTCCAATTACAAGTTAACTATAAGAGTCTGGATTTTACTTTGCAGGACAAATTTAGATGTTGGCAAACACAATTAACATTATATCATCCACCACACTGACTCATTCATTCATTCATGGCCCAATAGTAAAGGGGGTGAAGGGCTGCAGTTTCCCGATTGTGTTTTCTGTGGCACAGGAACAGCAGCAGGTATGAGCCAGACAGGCAGCTGTAAGATTACTAGTTAGGGGATAAACTGTCTGCTGGCACGCACACACAGACATACACACACATACACACACTCACTCATTTCTACAAGCTGCAACTAGCTTAAGACACCACAACCTGTTTAATAACATCTTAGAGGGAGTAAAGCACACGTGTGTTTCACACATTCAGCTGACACTCACATCCAGAGCGATTTAGGCTGATTATAGTAAACATTTAAAACAAGCTTTAAATACCTGTATGGACAAAATTACATGCAAACAATGGCAGGCAGGTGGGTACAAAGAGCCAAGTGATGCGGCCACACACCGAGGATCTACTGCTGTAATTTTCAGGTACTTCTGGTTAAAAAAAGAAGCGGCAAAAAAAATAATAGAGGAGCAGCAAATGTGCAAAATATTTAATCAAAAATCATCGTGAAATATTTTAAAGTGGCATTAAATGTAACAAACCAAACTGTGGACAGTAAGTATTTATTTTCTTTCCTGTGAATTCAAAGTAAAGACACTCCAGATGAAGCCAAGCATTATGTTAGGAGAAATCAGCTTTAGCATGGGTTAGGACAAGCTAACAGCAGAGAAATGTCGAGAGAGAGGCATGGCTCTCAAATAATCCAGAACGGAAATTAAGATGGTGCTAGAAGTGCAATTTCTAGGGGGAAAAGCCACTTACATAAAATAAATAAAAAAATACATACAATTCAATTTAATTTTATTTATACAGCGCCAAATCACAACAACAGTAACCTCAAGGCAATTTTTATTGTAGGGTCGACCCTAAAATAATACATACAGAGAAAACTCAAACAATAATATGACCCCCTATGAGCAGCACTTTGGTGACAGTGGGAAGGAAAAACTCCCTTTTAACAGGAAGAAACCTGCAGCAGGACCAGGCTCAGGGAGGGGCGGGGCCATCTGCTGTGACCGGTTGGGGAGAGAGAAGGAAGACAGGATAAAGACATGCTGTGGAAGAGAGACATTCATAACGGCCAACCTCACCTTAATACAAATAAGTTCCCGGAGCAGTTTCAAGATGGCCGCCTAGTGGTGAGACTTGCTTCCAGAGGAATTTTTTCCAACATGCAAGCAGTTGTATACGGCTGTAATCCACTACTATGCCTATCCGCATTTTCAAGTTACAGCCTTTACATTTTGGTTTTACTAATAAGAGCTACATATACATTTATCATCAACTATGTTGCACAAGCAAAGAAATTAACACAAGGGAAACGAAAGAAGCACGTTTGGGTGTGAGGGGGCATCTACAATCCTCATAATAAGGCCAGGAACACATTTTAAAGGGCCTTTTATGAATGGCTCTATTTCCTGTCACACGTTTCCTCGTACAATGGTAAGTGGATCGGTACTTACATAGGGCCTTTCTACTCTAATTGAGCACTCAAAATGCTTTATACTACCAGCTTCATTCACCCAATCACACACATTCATACAACGCTTTTATTCTCCAAACGCCTTGTCTAACATTCATGCACACACTCGCCCTCTAATGAATGCACCAGGGGCATCTCAGTGTTCAGCATCTTGCCCAAGGATCCTTTGACATGCAGTTTGGAAGAATCAAGAATCAAACGGTGATGTAGACCTGAGTAGATGTTCACATTTGGTGACAGTGGGGAGGAAAAAATCCCTTTGGGGAGGAGGACATGCTGTGAGCTGGAAGCTCAGAATTCAGACTGGTATAAAATGCTGTTTCACACAATTCTTTCTATTCTTGGCTCTGTATGATGTCAACAAGAGGGGATACACTTAATATGATCATCTTAGTTCAACCCTCCTGATTATCAGAGGCAGACAATCAGAAGAAAAGTGGCTTAAATGATGAGGCTAGACTGACGAGCTGCACCAGTTCTCAAATCTGGATTATTTTGAGTTGTGATTCACCCAAAGTTACTATAACAGAGTCAAAGAATGCAAATATGTAGCTGTAAATTAGAAGCGTCTTTAAAAATGAATTCCCCAAAGTTTTACAGCTAAATATTCAGCGCGCAACCTAAACTGCTGTTACACAAAAATGTGTCCGAGGATTTTTGAAATTTCTCATGAGAAATAGATGCTGTGATCCAATATAAAAATGAAGAGGTAACACAAATAGTGCTAGTGTCAGAGCAATACCGTCCTACTCGGCCAGTTGCTAAGAGAAAGGTGGGTTTGGTGGGGAGGGTGCGGGTTGAGTCAGAGTGAAAGCAAAGAGGGGTGAGAGCAAGCACGAAAAGGAGGGCTAGAAATGAAAATCCCATCGTTCAAACACAATTTCAAAGCTCTGTGTGCTCTAGCCAAGAGCCATGGGCACACAAAGAGGACTTTGTCCCAGCAGCAAAGGCTCATGGGATAGGGTACGGAGGAAG